CACTCACACTTACAAACACACACACACACACACACACACACGCTCACACGCACACACACACACACACACACACACACACACACACACACACACGCACACACACACACACAGACACACACAGACATGGTGCAGCAGTACATGCATGAGGAGGAGGTCAGGGCAAGGCACCAGGTAACTATCTAATATATACATACAGTTATACTCTCACTCACACGCACACACACACTCACACACACTCCACAAGGCACCAGGTACTGACTGAGTCTCACACTTGTAGTGGCACACACAGTAGTGGTACATACCCTTCTGTTACAATAGCAGAAGTGTTACTCACACTTTTGTTACATACATTGTAGTCAGTATTAGTACACAGCTTTCTGTTACGTCATCAATAGTAGTGCTCAAACATCCTTCACATCATCAGTATTGGTACATGCAAGTTGTCAAATTTGCCTTTCCAATAGATAGAATGAGATCATTAATCAACAATTGATTATGGTGTAGATTATGTGGAAAAATCTGGAGATTTTGAAGAAACAGATTGTTTCACAAATAGCAACTATACTCCATTGAGACATTTTTTTCTAGACTTTGGTTCATACAAGAACTTGAATTTTACATGAGCTGTGTAGTTATCAGTAGTGTAGTGTTGTAGCCACTGCCAGTAGTGTGATGTATTATCTCCTTATATGGTTATCACTGTATCTTCAGTTTGTTTCTTTCTCACCTGAGTTTTTGTCCTTCCGTGTCCCTCCTTCACTCATTTGTGGTTCTGTCCATTTTCTCTCTTCTTTCGTTCTCCCCTCCTTCTTCTGTTCCCTCCATCCGTGGGCGCAGTTCGTGTCGCAGGGCTGTGTGGTTATAGACCTGGTGTGTGATTACCTGCGCAGCAAAATGGTTCAGGCACAGAAACAGGTACACCATGGACGACCCCGCCCCCCTCCCCCCTGCTGTAGAACGACCTTGTCATGCTCTTTTCTTCTCAACATTTTGTCCTTCTGTTTTGTTTTTTGTGTTTTCTGCATATTTTGAGCAACACCACATCATTCTGCATGTGTGCCATAGTCTATGTTCTCTATTCTTGGCAATTGACTTGTTTCAGTGTGGCCAGGATTTACAAGGTTAATGTTAGTAATATTATTAGAGTACAGTCAAGAAGAGTGTGTTAGTATTAATACTTCTATCTGATATTATATAACTGACACAGAATAGAAACTTGAGCAAGAAACACAGTGTGGTATAGAAAGTCAGGAGTTTTGAAACACGATGTCTAGATATTATGTAGTAGGTATAATTTTTAAAAGGCTTTTTTCTGACCAAGCTTGATTGTATTCCAGTGCCTTGCTTACCATTTTTCATGTATATGATGTAAATACAGCTATATAAGAGTTACATTGTATGTCAGTCTTGGGCTGGTTGGTGATATGACAGAAAGAAAAAAAAAAGTTATCATGAAAAAGAAGGTTCATATTTTTCTATATTATAAGAAAACTCTGATAAACAATTTTTTTGCCAAAATGAACACTTAGTAATTGAGTATGACTGACTTTCTCTCATAAGGTTGTGCACACACACAAAAAAACCTCTCAAACTTCCTATGACTGACTTTTTTTTCCCCCAGGCCTCCTTACTACGCCTGAGAGAAAAAGCCCTGAAGGAGAAAACCAAGGCAGAACTGGACTGGCTGGAGCACCAGAAGAAGTGAGTGGGAAGGGATGGACTGTCAATGGGGGAGGGGGGAGGCTTCACAAGGAAAAGAAAGAATTTGCACCAGTACTTGTAGCTTTTAAACCAAGAAAGTTGACAAAAGAAATTTGACTTTGAACAAAATTTGCACACACGCATGTCTAAACCTACCCACGGTTTTAAAGATTTAATCGATGAATGTTGATAATTTTGTTGTCCTGGGAATTGCCTAATTTTTGAGATGATACTAGGTGACCACATTGTCTGTTGTTTTATGTTGTTTATTGTAAATGTTGTTTATGTTTGTGTGGTTGCCAGGAGACTGAGAGACAAGGGTGCGGATGACAGCATGCCGCCCATCAGGAAAAGACAGCGAGGCCTGATGCTGAGATTACAGACTGAACAGGTAATATCTTTCTATCGTCATTGGGTGTTACTTTGCCTTTGCAGCAGGGCTGAATTACAACGGGCTTTAACTTTAAGGGTTAAGCCACCCCAACTCTTTTCTATAAGTTTGGTGATTATCTGAAGCCTTAAAATGCAGAGATCAAGGGTCTTCATGAGGCCAAGAAAGCAGCACACTGAGTAATACATGTAGATGCTTTTGCTTTTCCATTTTTCCAAGTGGAAAGAGCTGAAGAAAGACTGATTGATGCTGCAGGATGCTGAAGCTACTGCAGCAGCAGAATACAGTGGACTACTATTTTGTACTTTAAACACTAACCTTCATGTCAGGCAGAGATTAAGTGTCTGCGTGAGGCAAACAAGCCATGAGTGAGAGCTCCACAGATACAAACTACGACTATTATTAAACCTGTGTAATCTGCATCCCCTCCAGGCTGAGATCAAGCGCCTGCGTGAGGCAAACAAAGCGGCGAGTCGTGAGCGTCAGCTGCTCTTCATGCAGCAACAATAAAACATAACTTCTGTAGCAAACCTGAGTAATGATAGAGTACATGTAGTCTAACCTGTTATTAAACTTCTGTACTCTGACTCCCCTCCAGGCTGAGATCAAGCGCCTGCGTGAGGCTAACAAAGCGGCGAGTCGTGAGCGTCAGCTGCTCTTCATGCAGCAACAGGAGATCATGAAGATGAGGCAGAGCACAGCCGCCATCAGGGAGAAAATCAGGCACAGGAAGAAAGACACAGGTACTTCTTTCATTTATCCCAAGACTCAAGACTCCTGGAACAAACTTTTTTCAGTTTGTACAAAATACAGTCAAACCTGCCCAAGCTGCCACCTAATATATTCAAGCCAGCCACATGGCCATAACAGCTACATTTTCCTGCTCCCGAAATCTTTTTCCTGTAGGCACAAGCTCAGACCAAGAGGGCCACTTGTCCAAGCAGAAGGGCGGTTTTTACCGCTGAGTTAAAAATGTCCCTCCAGATGCCCTTTTTTCATGTTGTTCTTTCAGTTGCAGTTCAACATTATTTTTTGCTTGATGAATAAAGCACACAGCAATTGCTTAAACATTGACAATAGCAGCGAGAAGCAGAACTCCAGTCAGAAGCTCTGAGGAAGGTGTCTGATAGACACTGAAACATCAGCACTTAGGTGAAAAATCTTGGTTGTGTAGAAGAAAACTATTGTATCCTATTGTCAACTTAATATCAAACTTTCCCCCACCAGGAGCGTCAGATGAAGAGATCCCAGAGGAGTTGTCAGATAAGCTGTCTCCTGCAGACAGGAGTGCGGCGGCCGGGCCGGGAGACGTCTCAGCAGACACACCCAGGGACAGGAAGGACTCCGTCTCAGACGCTGAGGCCAAGATGCTGCAGAAACTCAAGAAGATGCACGACCCCAAGGACGAAAGGTCAAGAAACGTTCTGAAATCCTCAACTTCCGTTACTGTTTCTTTTTAGAACTCAACATTTTTATGATTGAAAGACACATGAAAATGTTTTTATTCGATCCTTTTATATTTCTCAAGTTGTAACTTGAGCCACTCTAAGTCTAAGAAAAAAATGGTTAGGACTCCCCTTCTTTATGTTTAAATGTCTGAGATACAATCATCTTGGAAAGTTTGGGAGCCAATTGTTGAATGTCTGCTGATGCCTCCTATCAAAATATTTTCCTTCTCCTCAGTCATGTTCAAAAGTTACAGTATTACTTACTTCATTAGGTCTCCTCAGCTTAGCGAGTGCCCTGCCTTTGTCTGCACATCATCCTGTACCTACAGTATTATAAGACCTTTAAAACCTGAGAAACATTTCCCGTCTCCCACAGATACCTGACAACCCGTGAGCAGAAGCTTCAGCACCGTAAGAAGAACGCGGAGGACCTGTTGGCATGGAAACAGCAGCTGGACGCCGAGGAGAAGAAGGTCCGCTCGCTGGAACGGCAGGCGCTGTCCGTCTGGGGTCAGGACGTCAAGGGTGGCAAAGGTCAGTGCAGGATGGGAGGCCAAGGTGGCAAAGGTCAGTACAGGATGGGAGGTCAATGGGGCAAAGGTCAGTACAGGATGGGAGGTCAATGGGGCAAAGGTCAGTACATGGTGGGAGGTCAAGGGGTTAAGGTTATTAGTACAGGCTGGGAGGTCAATTTGGCAGTTTTTCAGTGCAGGCACTGTCTGGGGTGAGGCCATCCAGGGGGCAAAGTTCAGTATAACAGTTGAAGGTCATGGGGCATAGTTCAATACAAGAACTCATTTAAAGGTCAGTTCAGGGTGAGATGTCAGAGGTCAGTATGGGGTGGCATGTCAGAGGTCAGTATAGGGTAGCATGTCAGCCATATTTTTCATTTTCATGCACAAAACAATGAAAATGAAGAGGCATTTAGTTGTTCAGATGACGATTTCAGCACCAAGGACAGGGTTGGCAGACTTCCGTCAAACTTAACAACCCGAAAATGATTGGCAGGAGGTTAAGAGGACAGAGGATTTGTTTGGTGTAAGTTGTAGATCCGCAGTTGTTGGAAGTGTTGGTGTGTATGATTTTGCGGAACAAGAATGCTCAATCATTTCCTTTGTGATTCCCAGACAAGTCAGCCGCGTCCCCCCAGCCCAAAGTCCCGGCCTCCCCGGACAGCGTGGTGACGGAGAGCGCCGCGACCCCCGCTGACCCCTCCAGGACGCACCGCCGTTCCCATAGCAACCAGAGTGAGAGCTCCATCGCCGAGGAGGTCGGGAGTCGCTCCTCCTCTATACCGGAGGAGATCGGCACCGAGTCTAACGGGGACAAACCCAGGTAAGGGGTTATTTTACATGTATGGGAACACATGATAAAAGGGATTATCAAACAGATGAATCAGATGTTTTTTACACTACTCTCTTTAGTGAAAGCTTTTGTTTGTTTCACATTTTTTGACAAAATTGCTATCATTTTTTTTATTTGATATCTTGATGACAAACCCAGGTAAGGCATTCCAACAGGTAAGGCATTCCATGTGAACACTCAGATACATAGGATTGCAAATCCAAGATGCTGTTTTATTTTAACTAGTCTCTTGAGCAAAGGAGAATAAATTGTACATGTAGGTTTCAGTTTAGTTGTTACTCGTTAAACATCATGACACCTGTCCATTACTTTCTTCTTATGGTTGTTTGACTTTTTTTTAATGTGTCAGTAAACAAAAATGCTTGTTTTCGATATGATGTGTTTAAGATGTAAGAATTGGTACAAACATAGGTTTCCATACAATTATTACCAATGAAATTTGATCACGTCCCTACTCCAATATATGAGTGTTAGACCTAACCAGTTTTGACACCAGTCTTGCAGTCAATAGTACCATAAAATCCCATTATCTGCCTTTACAATGTAATTAGAAATGATTGATTTTTAACTGAAGCAGGTGGTTTGTGAGGATGGATGTGTTTACTAATGTGACAGCTCGTTAGTGGGGTCGTTAATATTTGAACAGCTTAATTAACTTGTATCAGGAGGCTCCAGATAGGATTACTGAATTCCCATATACAGGTAAAAGGTTAATCAGATTATTGCTGCATCATGTTTGTTTAATTACAGTTATGTGGTTTCATGACTAAGTCTTGTTCTGTTGCTACATCAGTGTATTTTCACAAATATGAAGATGAAGAAGCATTTAGTTGTTAAGATGGGGATTTCAGCACCAAGGACAGGGCTGGCAGACTACCCTCATACTCAGCTACTCAAAAAAATCGTCATATGATAACCCTAACCCATTCAGGCATAGAACTAGACATGCACGATTCTGGATACGATACATGTAATGTAGAAGCCATCCAGAACTGTGCCTGATCCTCACTGATTCATGTATAAAAGTAGATAAGCAAGGTTCTGGAAATGATAGAGATTATCCAGAACAGTGCCTGATCTAAACCCCAGAAGATCATTTTATAGAGCATAGGCATGATTCTGGATACACCATTGTCCATTGGTCATTACACCTAAACCCTAATAATATGTACATATAGTTCCTGGCCCTTCCGTGAACATGAATAATCCATGACCCTGGGAGCCAGACGTCCGACCACACCAGACAGGCTTATGTTTCAGGATAAAAGCCTGGCGCTGCCACGTCCAGCAGCTTCACCCTGGAGCTTTCATCTGGGGGTCCCCAGGGGGGTTCCAGGCTGGACCAAGTTTATTGGTTGGTTCTTGGAGTTGTCCAATGTCGATATTGTATCATAAATGTCGGCTGATGATGATGATTATGATGA